GGGGGGCTTATTATATATGTAAACGTCCAAAGGGATTGACATGTATGTATGTAGTCAATCAAACAAAAATKAATAATTTGCTTTCCACATCCGCGACAGAACACACGTGTACAGTGTGACAGCCGGCGCAGATCTCACACATGAGTGATGGGTCTCAGGGCTCAAAGGCGCAGCAGTACGGAGATCAGTCCGCCCACACACCRTACAAATCGTTTATACATCAGCCGTAACGTGACGCTACACCCGGCAGTCAAGTTCACGCTTTCACATTACGTAAGCGCCTCACAGGCTCACCCAAACAGTGCTAAGGTTCCTGTTATTTTATTTTCCCAACGAGATGGATTCAACAACCACTAAAGACTCAGAGAAGACTTGCGTCTTGTGCTGTCAAGACAACGATATCTTCGCCTTGGGAAAATGCGACCACCCGGTGTGCTACCGTTGCTCCACCAAAATGAGGGTGCTGTGCGACCAGAAGTACTGCGCTGTCTGCCGCGAGGAGCTTGACAAGGTGCGCTCTCCTTCGATACTGGACGCCGGGGCTTCAAGCTAGCTGGAGCTAACTAGGCCTCAACGTCAATGTAGTAACCACTATAGCAAAAACTAGTTTTGTTATCCCATATAGACTAACTTCGTGACAAATGAGAAACTATAGCAGAAAGCAACGCCTGCTATAGGAAGGACTATTTTTAACGCGTTAATTATTAGTTTAACCAAATAGCTAAAGCTARCTAGCATCAGCAAATGTTGATTGGGAAATCAGCTTTTTTAACTGTCTCATTCATATAAAATAACAATATCTGTTTCTAACTCTTTAAATGCTCTTATATTTAGACACACAAATCGGTTCAATGAGTTAGTATTCACGTGTGCCCACCCCACTTGAGTTCAAAAGGAAGCATGATTCTCACATTCAAGCTTCAGCTAACCTGTCCTCCCAGCACAGTCAGGTGGACAATCATTGTACCACATTACAATGCAGCCCTACCTTTTTAAGATGTCAGCTTTACAGTACAGGTCATTAAGTGTGAGATGCTGTCATTAGGACTGAAATTCGGGATTTTTAATGTTTGTGTCCATTATATTCTGTGGAAGTGCACACTAATACAAATACTTTAGTCCTCAGGTCTTAATCATTAATTAATAAATGTCTAAAATGCTTCTTACTTATGGTTTCTCAATGACCTGTTGGTGATTATGATTGACCACACCCATTTAGTCTTGTCAGATAATTTTTTTAACCTCTCAAAATTTGACTTCATAATGGGAAATCCAGTGGCTCTAGGCAGGATATTAGAGCATACATTGCGAACAAACACAGAAGGTTATTACTGAAAACAAACTCCTCAGTCTCATGTTCAAGAAAAAAAAACTTCAACTCATTTTGATCTCAGCTGAAGTGTGCTGCACTTTGGTTTGATTTGATGATGCCTGTATTATCGTTGTACGGAGCACAATGAAATTACCATATTTATTCATGTATAATATGATCTCAAGTATAATTTGATCATTTTTTGAGCTAAAAGAGTATAAAATAATCTAATCATCAATAACTGTGTATAATGC